AATTTGTTAGTAGGAGACTCCAAGGTAGTAGTGGGCTGGCTGAATAGCCCAGACACAGTTTGTTGGGGCTACAGGGATCTGGTAAAGAAAGTTAAATGGATGACAAGAAATATGACTGTTAGGTTCCAGTGGGTTAGCAGATCAGCAAATGTAATGGCTGATTCTCTGGCCAAGCAAGGGGTGTCAAGGGGTGATCTGTTTTGGGCTAGTTTGTAATTTGCTTCTCAGGTTTGGGCATGTTTTAGTGCTTTTGATTCAGCCCTTGGGGGAGGTAGCATCTCGTGCCTCTTCCTAGGCTGTATGTATTTCTGATACTCTTTCAATAAAATTACTCTCATTTATCAAAAAAAAAAAAAAAAATCAGTGGAATGTTTTGAAGAAAAAATGGTGCATTCTCAGTTTTACTTGAGGACTTTAAACTGCAATTAAAAAGGAGAAAATAAAATAGTGTGTGTGTATGTCATCCAAGCCTTATCCCAACAATATGGGGTCGGATCTATACATTGAAGTTGAGACAAAAATATCCTCTTTTAATAATAAAAAGAAAATAACAAATATATCCTATAACTATAAATATGATGAACAATTAATCTACTTTCTACACTCCCCTCAACCTGAGCATAGATATTCATCATGCCCAGCGTGCTAAGGTGGTGTAAATGGATCAAAGGATGTTTGCAAACCTATCACCTATTTGGTGTTGGTGACTRGAGGGTAGTTAAAGATTTATTTCCATCTTGCAGGGGGCTTAGACAAGGTGACCTACTTTCTCCCTTTTGCTTTACTATTATAGCAGATGTGTTTGGTAGAATTACATCTAGAGTAGATAGGTTGCAATTGATTAAGGGCTGGAGGGTTGGAATAGATAATGTGTGATCATTCATCTTCAATTTGCAGATGATATCATTTTGTTTTATGATGACGGAGAGGAACAGTGAGCTAGGAATTTGAGGTTGACGACGGAGCTTCTTGAGCAGCTCTCAAATTTGAGGATAAACCTAAATAAGAGCTGTCTAGTAAGGATTAATGTGGAGAAAAGGAATCCTGCCTATTAGATTTTACGCTGCAAAGGTCACCTCATGGCCAATAAATTACTTAGGCCTTCACCTAGGAGCTAACCCTAAGTAAAATGGTTTTTGAAATCTTATTTTAGAAAGATTCTCCAAGAGAGACTAGCTATTTAGAAGAGGAATTAATTTAATTAGTGGACTTTGATTTTTGTTTTTTTTTGTCAGGGATTTTGTACATCTTCTGAAGTATATCCCCCCTTTCTTTTTAATGATATCTGTTTTCTTTCGAAAAAAGATAACAATCACAGAATGTTGCATATCTTTATCATATCATGTTTTGTAAATACCCTAAAGGTAAACTTTATTAAAAAGGAAAAAAGCATGGTGCAAGACTCCTGGAGGGGAACACCTAAACCCAGGAAGAAACAACAGACCACACCTCCCACAAACTTCTAGACTTAAACAACAGAGCCACATTCTGCTGCTTAAAGTCTTTTACAACCGAGACCCAAGATACAAAACTACTAACTGCCTGCTGAATTAAAACATCCAGATTCTTTTTCTTATTACAGAAAATTCAATTGTTTCTGTAAAATTCTTATCAAACCAATACCTCACTCATTGCATCTGCCACACAGCACTTTATAAGGTCTTCATAGAGATCTGCTGATCGTTGTATTTCTGGAGCATCAGCCCAATATTCTAGTATGAGAAGCGCATATTCACAACACCTGCAATGTAAGGAGAAAGGGGGAAACCAAAACAGATAATAGTAACAAAATCAGAAAGAAGCTATTTACTAGGCTATTTGATAGCATGTTAAGTCATACCTGGCACGGAGCACTGCACTGCGATCATTTTTTGCACAGTCAGCAATTCGAGGGAGTACTCGGGCAACTTTGCAATTTCGCAACATCTGGAAATCCCAAAATAAAATTTAAAGAAAAAGGGAAAGAAAGAAACATAAGATGCTAGTTCATTCACATGCAGACATAAATATAACAATCTACCATGGAACATATGATACTTATGCATACCGTTTTTATACAGTTGTCTGCAGATTCAGCAATTACAAGTACAGTTATTACAACAAGCTTGAAAAGCACCTGAAAGCAATAATATCAACAGTGATATCAGAAGAACTGTTGGCATAAAAACAACCACAATATTAAGAAACATGTTTGTGAACTTACTGGAATAAACATCTCAGCACATGCCTCAAAATCACCGAGTAGTTCTTTTGATAAGAAGCTTAATAGATGGCAAGCCTGCAAAAATGAAATAAAAAACAAAAATCATAACTAGCAAACTTAGAATACATAATTTTGTAAGATTCATGTAAAGCAGTATGCTGTGAAATCTTCATAAGATGAGCCTGGCAAAGAAGAGGATGATAAGATGGATTGGATGAGTGGCTGATGTAGGATTGGATGAGTGGCATAAAGTGGTAAGGAGTGTGCATGGTGTTGCAGACAATGGATGGGATGCTGGTGTATCTCGGAGTGCTAGGCTGAAATCCCCATGGAAGGCTATTCATAGTATTCTTCCCGTTTTCCTGAACCTGATCAGGTATGATGTTAGTACTGGAGATAGGGTTTTGCTTAGGGAGGATGTTTGGATTGGTGATTGTTCCCTCAAGGACCTCTTACCCTCCTTGTATTCCATCTCGTGTTTTAAAAACGAGCCAATTCAAAGGTTTGTATCATCATCCTTTTCTTCTGGCATAAACTGGAATCTGGGTTTTAGAAGAGGTTTGAGAGATTCTGAGCTTGACCAGGCTGCTTTGCTCCTCAAAACTATTGATTCTGATTTGCTTGG